AAGGCCACGTTCACTATATCGTGCTATGTTTGAACTCACAATGAAAACTAGATCCAAAATCAATAAAACATATCAATAATCAGATAACAGACAAATTGCTACTAAAATTTTGGTCAAATTATACATTAAAGACAACACGCCACCCCCACCCCCCTTTTCCGTAAGAATTATGGTATATGTCCTCACTTTTTTTTTCTAAAACTCAAATATGATGCTGACTAATTGCTTTTGAAGTTTAAAAGAATTAATAGTTCTAACAGGATTGAAATTGGTCATGATCGACAACAGGAATCAATCCTGCTGAGTAAGACAAGTTCTACACATCTTAGACATGTTATCATATATTATGTTGTCCTCTTGATATTGCTATGCCGAAATAAATCGGAAATGAATACACATGACTGGATTTTGCTGTTTAACCTCTAAGGATTATAAAATTTAAAAGATGTGTTTCTTGAGTCCATTTTGAAAAGAGTGGTTTTTAGACATAATTTCAATTTTTATCTTCTTTTCTATAGTATGTTAGAAAACAATATCTGCGTGCTAAAATAGTGACTGCATTGGTGTTAGGTACACATATCATTCACCTGAAAAATAAAAAGATGCATTCACGATCGTTTGGCACAGTGCAATATATCGTTTAATGCTGATAGTAATTTTGCCATTACTTGCTGCCAATAGTTAACCTTATTCATATTCTGCTCTAAAAATAAGTATTGCAAAACAAGACTGTAGTTGGCCTGCATTATTCTTAGGGCTCAGAATTATAGACATGCCTGCCGGTTTTACAATATAGTCGATATTACTCAGATAAAAATCAATTGCTTGAAAGTGTGCTTTATATTAAATAATGAATCTGATTGGTAGGTCAACTTATGTGGGTCCACAGTGACGAAGGAAAGAACATTTTGTCTAAAAAAAGAGGTCACTTACAAAACGCTCCGAGACAAAAACAACGGTTATTTAAGGCATAAAAAAATCAAATCTTAAAAATACGGTCGGGGGATTGTGTTATTTTTATTTGAGCATTATTTCGGACAGAAGCCCAATTGACACTGTTTCTATACCGAAGTCAATACTTTGGTTGTCGAAAGAAGAGGACAAAGATAATATAAAAAAATATGAAAATATTTGTAGGCAAAATTACTACCACAATTTGCTGAAATGATATATTTATCATCCATGTGTTTTTGTGTGAAATGACTTTAATGATACTTTCACATATTAATAATTGGTTTTGAGTACCATCGACGAGGAATAAATATTCTAAATATGCATATGGTGCATTAAATTAATTTCAGTATCTTGTAATTTTTTTGTAACTGCTACCTTAAAAAAAAGAAAACTGACAAAAAACACAAAAACCAGAATAATACTATGAAAAAGCGGCGCAGTATACCAATGGAATATTCAAATCTCATAAGTCGAAAAAAAATCTGACAACGCCATGGCAAAAAAAAAAAAACCCAAAAAGGCGAAAAGACGAACAAATTCACCCTTGGTTCAATAGCTTCCTTGTAAGTAGCAACCGTCTAGCAAGGAAATCATGATAGGAAATGCAAACTCTGGAATATCGTATCAACTGGGAGATCTATTCGGAACTGAAATCACTCCTTTTGTCGTAAAGTTTTGTTTTCTCAACCGACCCATATTGGCAAATTTTAGATATAAGTCAAGATATTAGGCCGATTTAATTGTATCTGTGATATCCTTTATTTCAAATTTGATTGGATAAATGCGTTCAACAAAGTCATCAAAGTTTGGATTATCTAGTGAGAGGACATCATATATATAGCGGAACGTGAGGTTAAAGGATAATGCTAGCTTCTGTTCATGCTTCCTGAGAAGCTCCTGTATGAAGTCTGTCTCATACGAATAAACGAACAAGTCGGCAAGAAGAGGAACACAATTAGTTCCCATATAAATGCCAATTGTTTGTTGAGAAAACACACCCTCCAAACGTAAAAAAATATGTTGTCAATAACAAAATCAAGCATCTTGATGATGTCAGTTTCATAGAATCTTTTGTTTGAATCAGAGTGGGCTTTTTTTGCAAAGTAAAATGTATCCCTTCCTTAAGCAAGATATTTGTATCTACGTTTGCCAATCTTTTCGCTTGGCGAGTTATAACAACATGTTGTTGAGTTTAGAATGAGGAAAACTAGTGTAAAAGATAGAGAAATCAAATGTTTTTTTAAACTGTTACAAGAGATAGATACTTATATTGTATGTACTCAAACAGATCATTCGAATTTTTCAGTATCCACATCTGATTCACAGTGCCCGGAGACTAGGTAGTTTCACAGTAACTCTTAAGACTGGCTTTGATTGCTGATAAAATTGATATTAATAGTTTGGAAAGATGTTACGTGGACCCTTTGGCAGACCCAGCAATATACTAGTGTTTGTAAGGACATTTATGTAATTTTGGTATCCAGGACAGTGTAGGAAGATCAAGTTCTTCATCTTTGGTTGAAATTCCAAAGAAACATAGAACAGACCTATGATTGTTTAGGATTTCCTTTTTTTTGTAAGTGTCGTGGGCGTTTATGCTGAGTTTCAAGTGAATTTTCAACACCTAATTTCGTTATCAAGCTGTTTATGAAATGTGATTTACATACACTATCCGATGTTATTCGGGACTCAATCTGCGGGGACAACAATATTTTTGTCATGGAGGTATCACAGGTGTTAAGCCACGTTTTGGACTTTGAATGATAGATGTAGTGTTCATATATTCAGTCTTTTTTTTATTCTAATTTGTATTAACCTCACAGCCCCTGAACCCATTCGGAAAGAGTATTTTACAAGACATTATCTTTATAAAGCTGTCATTTCTCCCTACCCTCCCCCTCATACTTATTTCAATTTTGACTGGTAAATTTTAATGAATCTTAAACAATTCTATTGGACTGAGTTATTACTGCTTTATTTCTAACTGTGTACCTGTTGAAATTTTCGGGAGTGTCAGGACGTGAAATTTTATTATGTTAAATCAATATTGTTGCTACAAACAGTGATCGCAACTCTCAAAATCAAAAAAAGAAGTTATAAAATAGTTTTGTAAGTCGATTGACAATTACACATATGATTTCATTTTCTGACTTTCTTTTTTACTAAGTGTTCAAGTCTTAACACATCTACTCATTGATTTACTATATGGATATGATAAAAACAAAGTTCTTTTACATATATGTCATGATTTAACTCTTTTGAAAGAAAAAAAAAACTTTTCAATATAAACATATCCTGCACATAAAAAAAGGTTAATTTGGAATATAGTTGACCTTGAAACTGGACACTGGACGATTTTATGTTATCTTTATCAATGAAACGGTTATATTTGCCAGTTCTTACTTTTCAAATAAATTTTGTAATACAGAGAATATTTAAAATATTTAAAGAAAGGCGAAAATATACGAAAGGGATATTCAAACTCATAAGTCGAAAACAAACTTACAATGCCATGGCAAAAAATGAAAAACGATCAAAAGACAATCAGTATACAAAACACAACATAGAAAACTAAAATTAAAATAGCATATTCATCCGAAGTTTGAGAAACTTTATATATCGCGAGTGTTGTCTGCTCAATGGTCGGGTTGTTGTCTCTTTGACACATTCCCCATTTCCATTCTCAATTTTACTAGTATTAGGAATATATATGTTACAGTACAAATTGGAATTCAGTAGAATCCTCCTAGTACTTATTGGAATTCTAATATCTACAAATAGAAATCGGAATTCTGGTTTATACTTAATATAATCAAGTACAAATAGGAATTCCAATATCTCCTAGTAGAAATCTGAATATCCAGATTTGTACTAATGGATTCTGGATTGTACTGAATTTCTAATTGGATCCAGGATATTACTTAAAAAAAACTATAGTTAGTATATAAGTTTGATTCTGGATTTTACTGGTTTTGTTTTTAATTTTTTTATATTTTCACGGATAAAAAGGAAACCCAAAAATAAATGATAATAAATTGTCACTTTCAATAATATATTACACAGAAAATCTGGTAAATATATAAACTTTCGTGAAATTATTTTTATAATAGCTAGAGGATCAACTATTCGCTATTCTGGGATGTTGGTTTAAGAAGAAATATTAATTTTCACCTCTTGCTAGGTCAACTTATTTATTCCTCAAAGATTTTGTCAAGTTATGTTTGTTTCGAAACACATCAGTTCACTACATTATATGGAAATACTTACAATAACAGTTTGGTTTTGGTTAGGAGAGTCCTTATACATTTGTAAATTATTACTAAATATTTGTCAAAATCTGTTAAAACGAAAGTTTCAGACCATCTATAGGTATCTATAATGTGATCAAATGTTCGAAAATACACTAAAAGCGCTGTTAAAACATAAAAGTTCTGAATTTTAGTCAAGATTGAAAGACTTTAAGAAAAGGATCAGCAGTGAATTAAATTCATGGGAAATTTGTCCTACCTCTTTTACTTTTGATTTAGATTTGTTTTGATTATAAATTTATTGATTAAGTAAATCAAAAGTCTGTTACTATTGTGTCTTTTGAAGTATTAATCTTGCACAATCCAGGATCCTGATATCAGGATATCTCAATTTCTACTTGTAGAATTTCATAAGAATAAATCAGAATATCTTCTAGTAGATAATGGATTTCCAATTTGTACTGGGAGGATTCTGGATCCTACTGAATACCAATTTATACTTAAATATATTAGACACATCGGTATAAATGTACGCTCACATAAGTAAAAAACAAACAGGAAATGGACAATCATTAAGATTATGTGTGAGTTGGAAGAAAGAATGTAATATAGATGATAAGAATGAAGAAACAAAAATAGAATGGGTGAATAGAAATATGGCGACAATATAAATATTAGATAAAGCAAAATATGAAATCCGTTTCCTTAATGCATAATTCTTTTATCTATTTTTAATATTATCTTATAGTTAACATTCATATATAAGTGTATATGTGAATAATTAGTGAACAGGGGAAATAACAACAACAAATGAGTTTTATTTTTCTTCATAAATCGACACTTGATTATTGCTATGAACTACATACAATTTCCTCATTGTACTGTTGTTTATCACTGCACATGGCCAGCTCAATGAAGAGAATTCGTTCTGTTTTACCTGTTTAGTACCGTCCGCTGAGATTCGAGAAATATTATTTTTACCCATTCTGAACATAGAAATCAAAATACTTTTATCCCTTAAAACTGCGATTCCATTTGAATTTTCAAATTTAAAATCTACCTCAAAACATTTATCACCGGTTTCACTGTTGAAACAAAATAAATTGCCTAGTTTTGTATCAATGTAAAATATGTTTTCTTCCATAGTATCGATGTACCCTGTTTTGATAGGTGCCTTAATCGTTTGTATTATCTCACCAGCTGCATTAACAATCAGTATCCCAGTATTTTCACAAGCGAGAACTACGTTTTCACCAATACGACCCAGACCTGATACAGCTTCTGGTAATTCTACCGTGCGGATCATTTCTAGAGATTCAACGTTTCGAAATTCTACATATTTCATGTATTGAATCGAAACGCAAACTAAAGATGGATTGATTGCAATTACTGAGTGAGGAAACGAGCTTAGATGAACTGCTTTAACCTGTTCCCCTGTCTGAGTATAGATAAGTAACTGTCCACTTGGAGGGAAAGGAGCAGCAAATATGATATTACCGTTTGGCAAAAGTGTCCCATTTATTGGCATATTTACATTAGTGTTTAACCTTTGGAACTGGAATTTCCCAATAGCATGAAATATGCTACTACCCATTTCAATACTTTTGAAGTGTTTCGTTTCCTCTTTTACCGGAACAAATGATGTATCTGTTTCATTGAATAGAAGTTTCCCTGAACATTTGATCACATTTAGAATCGATCTATCAAGGGAAAGCTCTACAGAAAGTTGTTTCAAAGATTTGGTGTGATCAGCTTCCTTTTTGACAGGCTCATCAGTGCTTGATTCTTGTTCTTTAAGACGTTTGATTTGCTCTTGAAGCTTTGATTTATATCTGATCGCCGCTAAGTCTAATTCTTCTTTGAGAGAGTTTTCCATTCTGTCGATTTGTTGACGCATTTCACTGCAGAAAGTTTTTAACTGATTGAGCGCTTTGTCCTTTTGTGTATCAATCTTTGACATGTTATCAACATAGTGCTGTATCATCTGTTGTCTTTTTGTTGTTGTCATGTTGAATTAACTCTGAGTCAATCTTTAATAAAAATACATAGAAATAAAAGATTTTTGAGCAAGAAATTGTGGAACTTTATTTTTGTAATTTAATTGGCGGGGTTACATGATTTGCCAACCCGGCTTATATTATTGAGCGTACTTGTGGTCCCGAAGTCCGACTAACAGTTTTGGTGGCTTTTCCGTTAATAAGGAATGTATATCAATATTTGATATACAACCTTATAGTTAGTGTGCAAATTGGCCGTATCTAATTTACACATATGGAAATACAGGACCACCAAATTTTCACTGTGACCACCAGATTTGTAACGTTGATGGTCCTAATGTCTACCTGACTAAAAAAGATTTCGAGAACTCTACCAGAAGCTATATGGTTCAGGAGAATCACGGCTTCATGTTTAAATTGTCATCATTGTTTGGTTTCGTTATTCCGATCCTTTATCTTGATATCTTTTCCAATTATTAAGAAATATAGTGAAATATGGGTATACTATGTAAAATTCAAACTTACCAGATTTCTAAAATGACAGTATTTATTTACCTTATCACCTTGACTACAATCTATTTATAGAGTATATAAACTATAAACTTTAAATGTTTATGAAACCTAATTAAATGGCTTATTAAAAGCATATATTCAGGAAAAAACTGATTCACACACACTTTGCATATTTTTCGCAGATATCTTTCATACTAACTTGCATAGTGCACAGTAATAACAGATTGGAGGAGAGTCATTTTGGATGTAAAAGGAAAGATAACTCTATATATAACTTTAACTCTAAACATTAAAGAAATGAAATATACAGTTATTAAACTATAATATCACACAAACTAAAAAGCATACTAATAAATAAAATAAAGCAATGGCATAGGAGTTGACTGGAAGTGAGGAGACAGGAGGGGAGGAGCTGTAAAATGACTAGCAAACAAGAACACAAAAAAAAAACACACGCCTCTACATGATCTAAAGTCTAGAGTTGGTCATTTTCATGTTTTTGTTGCAGTAATTTTACTAACCGAAGAGGTCTTTGTTGTTTATTTTTGGAGGGACAAAAACTTATACTTTCAATTGGAAAATTATTTCGGGGGAGGGGGGGGGCAAAAACATATACTGTCAATTGGAAAAATATTTGGGGGTGGAGCAAAAACATATACTTTCAATTGGCAAAATATTATAGAAATATATTTCATTGAAATGATATCATTTTTTTATCAATTTAATTATATATAAGAAGCATTTAACCGTTGAACGTAATTGATATGTGTGAACTAACAAAAATTTTTTAAACATATTGGACAAACCATAATTTCTAAAAGGTTGTAAGCACTATCATATTATATGAGGTTTTTGTAACAACATATATGTAATGATATGTGATTGTTGTTGTCTGGTTTGCCTACATTAAATTGTAGTTTATAAAACATAAAGTGTTTTGTTGTTTCGACAATTATAGTTTTTTCCTGAATTGTAATCATATTATTTACTGTCTTTTACCTATAAATTTTATAAAGGATACTGAATCCTACTATTAAGTTAAGGGAAATATGCATAAATATATTCAACAAAATGTGTGCAATTTTGTGGAAATATCTTATACATTTCCCACAAAAATGCATTGAATTTGACAAATACTTTTAATAAAATATGCATATTTTTTGGTTAATTTTTACAAAATTTCAACAAGATTGTTAAATTGTTGGAACAATTCTGAAAAAATATAAAAAGTAATATAATGAAACTATAGAATTAAATAATTGACATTTAAAATTCCTTTTCATTTGTTCGCCTAATTTATTTTACAATTTTTGTAAATACTCTTAAATGCTAATATAGAAGAAACAATAAATTCTAACAAATAAATTTAACTGTTAAAAAATGTCTAAGTATGTGCGACATATTTTCATTTTTTGCTTCATAGATTATATAAATTATGCTGTAATGAATGAAAAATTGATCGTACATTGCCAAGATTGGTGTATTTCAATCATTATCACTGGGAAACGTTAATGATGAATTATCAAGATATTTTTTATAAATAAATGCCATTATTTTGACATTTGTTCTGACATTTAATCAATAAAACAAAACATTTGATTGCGTTAACCCCTGAGGGTTCACGCATATATATTAATTGATGGTGTAGTCTTTCGGAATACCAAAAATGCCTATTGTCTTTTCGGAATACATCATTCTGTTCTTTTCTGTGGCCACCTGCGTAATAGGTAATTAATTGACCTACTGAATATGTATTAGTGTCTTACAGTTGCTAAAAAGATAAGTGTTAATCGAGAGTCGAGACTGAATGATATTTTACATCAGTAGTTAATTAAATTATAGACGCATATATTAATTTTTTCTGAAATACAAGCTGTGTAAACATTCGACATTAGATTTTAAGCGAAAAAAAATACCGTCAATGATTAGGCGTTTTTAAGATTTTATAACTGAGCCATTTTAGCGAAATTAAAAAGTCCGTTTATGCAGTAATTAAGGAGTTTTTTAAAATTACTCCTATTTTAATTAAAATAGCAAAAATTAAATTATCATTTTCATATTATTTAATTGGTAAAATATTGGAACAACATATTTTTTCATCGTTATCAAATTACAAATTGAAATAAAAAGAAAACAAATTAAAAGATGAACTAACTGAGCCTTAAAGAATCGTTGAGATGTGTAAAATGCAGATATGAGATGCTACAACGAAACATTTCATTTTTTAATAAAATTTAACTTATCAAATATTTTAGCGGTATGCTGATGATTCTGAAAGAATAATTAAATTTTATGACTTGATGTCGTAGATGATGGATAATATGCAATAGCAGGAGTGAAATACTAATGCAGGGTCAGAGATAAAATAGCGATTGTCTTTTATAGGGACTGAGTGATAATAGATACAGTCAGAGATAAGATAATGAATTTCTAAATTATATTATTATTATTTAGGTTCTACATTTGTTTCAAAATATAAATAAGAAAAAAATGAAATCAGGCAGTTAGTTTTCTCGTATGAATTATTTTACATTTGTCATTTCGGGGCATTTTGTAGCTTACTATGCGGTATGGGGTTTGTTCACTGTTAAAGGCCGTACGTTGACAATAGTTGTTAACTTCTACGTCACTTGGTCTCTTTTGGAGATTTGTCTCATTGGCAATCATACCACATCTTCTTATCTTTATATGAAGCAAAACAATGAAGTCTGAAATATTCCTCGATGTTTGGATTGAAAACTATTTTATTTAAGTCGAGGCAATCTGTATTCATAAGCGAATTTAGAGGGTCTAGTTGACAAAGGCTTAGAGCGTTTCTGGCGACAAAATATGACGATATCATAACAAATTAGACGAAAAAACGTTTGTATTCATAAGAAAAAATAGCACAACTTAGTAACAAATAATTTTTCTTAAAATCATTATCCGTATTCAACGGACATGCGATTGCAAAACAAGATTTTTAAATTGCGTACTGGACATGAGCTATACTGAATTGGTACTGTTATTCCTGCTTTACCCTGTCTGTCACACACTCGTATAAAAACAACAAATCAACAATTTCATTATATTTTGGCTGATTTACAAAAGAACAAGTTATGAAATGAAAATGTGAGATTTGTTTGAACCATGGAAGTAAGACTGATTTAAGTATAAGGTTTAGGTTTCAAACTGTTTCTACTCTAAAGACCTGATTTGAGTTTGTTGCCTGGAGTATAAATAAATTGAGATCAAGCATATCTTGAATATGATAGCCAATGACCAAACCATATTGGTTTTCCAAAATGGTTTATTTCGGGATTAACAAATAAGAATATAGCTTAGGGTTTGAACTATTTTCAAACTGGCTACAAAAACAAATAATCATGATTCATTTCTTTAAAATTCTTTACAACAAAGACTGTTTTCACAGTTACATTTCGACTTCAGCCAGGAAGCTACTTCTAATTCCTAAAATAGTACCTCAGAAAGGAATTAACATACAGTGGTTTCTTCTTATTCATCATGTTGTAATGGGATTGGAGAGAGAAATTATTTCTTTTACAAGAAAATTATGCCCAACATAGAACATCAGTTTCATTAAGAATCCATGTCAGTGTATCTACATCTTATATAAATAAGAAATGAGGAGAAATCATGCATCTATATAAAAAAATTATCTGATCTTTCATTCCAAACATGCATTTAGGTCCTCGATTGCATTTCTTTATTTTAAAGAATGAATAACACATTAAAAAAACATATACAAGGCAGCAGAATAATACACCATAAAAGACAAATAAAAGGCAGCAGAATAATACATTAAAAGACATATACAAGGCAGCAGAATAATACATTAAAAAGACATATACAAGGCAGCAGAATAACACATTAAAAAGACAAATACATGGTAGCAGAATAATACATTAAAAAGACATATACAAGGCAGCAGAATAACACAATAAAATGACATATACAAGGCAGCAGAATAATACATTAAATAGACATATACAAGGCAGCAGAATAACGCATTAAAAAGACATATACGAGGCAGCAGAATAACACGTTAAAAAGACATATACAAGGCAGCAGAATAAAACACCAAAAAGACAAATACAAGGCAGCAGAATAATACATTAAAAAGACATATACAAGGCAGCAGAATAACACATTAAATAGACATATACACGGCAGCAGAATAATACATTAAATAGACATATACAAGACAGCAGAATAACACATAAAAATAGACATATACAAGGCAGCAGAATAACACATTAAATAGACATATACAAGGCAGCAGAATAATACATTAAATAGACATATACAAGACAGCAGAATAACACATAAAAATAGACATATACAAGGCAGCAGAATAACACATTAAATAGACATACAAACGGCAGCAGAATAATACATTAAAAGGACATATACAAGGCAGCAGAATAACACATTAAATAGACATATATACAAGACAGCAGAATACTACACCAAAAAGACAAATACACGTCAGCAGAATAAAACATTAAAAAGACATATACAAGGCAGCAGAATAACACATTAAAAAGACATATACAAGGCAGCAGAATAATACATTAAATAGACATATACAAGGCAGCAGAATAACACATAAAAATAGACATATACAAGGCAGCAGAATAACACATTAAATAGACATACACACGGCAGCAGAATAACACATTAAAAGGACATATACAAGGCAGCAGAATAACACATTAAATAGACATATACAATGCAGCAGAATACTACACCAAAAAGACAAATACACGTCAGCAGAATAACACATTAAAAAGACATATACAAGGCAGCAGAATAACACATTAAAAAGACATATACAAGGCAGCAGAATACTACACCAAAACGACAAATACACGTCAGCAGAATAACACATTAAAAGGACAATTACAAGGCAGCAGAATAACACATTAAATAGACATATATATATACAAGGCAGCAGAATAATACACCAAAAAGACAAATACACGGCAGCAGAATAACACATTAAAAGACATATACAAGGCAGCAGAATACTACACCAAAAAGACAAATACACGTCAGCAGAATAACACATTAAATAGACATATACAAGGCAGCAGAATAATACACCAAAAAGACAAATACACGGCAGCAGAATAGCACATTAAAAGGACATATACAAGGCAGCAGAATAACACATTAAATAGACATATACAAGGCAGCAGAATAACACATTAAATAGACATATACACGGCAGCAGAAAAATACACCAAAAAAGCATGCACAGGTGACACACGTATATCGCTTCCCAGAATAGATAGTTTCGCTATTGTCCAAGAAACAAACTGTTGTCACCAGCCTTTCTAAAGACAACTTCGTAATAACCTTGCTCAAAAATAAAATTGACTAGAAAGGAAAAAATTTAACAAATCATGTTGTGCCAGTGAATGTTCCATTTTTAAAGAAAAAAAAAATTGAATATTTTTATAGTTATGTAAAAGGATCCTGTTTTCATATATATGCCTTTTCAAAATGACAGATATTTGGTGGTCGGCTCTTAAACCATTTTTTGGTAGAGATCCGATGTGTAAGATAACCACTGATGTGCCTGAAAACCATTTACACTCTGAATCCGTCTTATGCCTTTCTACTTTCTGTAAGCTTTCCTTCAGTCGAAAAGCTTGCAGTTGATTTATTTCATGTTGGTTTATGTCGTCGTATCTGTCTTTGAAAAGGTCAAATAAAATACGAAGTTGAAAAGCATTGAGGAACCAATATTTTTAAAGGTTTCGCCAAATACAGCCAAGATTATCTATTCCTTTCGTTGATTGACTCTAAGGAAGTTTCATTTGTACGGATGAAATTTAATAAATAAGTTATTTTCATGTAGCTAGTTTTTACAGATCTTTTTGATTTCTTTTTTTTTTTTTTATATCTAGATGTTACAGTCTACACATTGTAGCGCTCGGGACTGATGTTGAATATAAATAAAATCTTTACCAAAGACAGACCCCTAAGAAACCCTGGGATCTACATCGACACTGCGTCTAGTTCGCACCATTTTATTCATCAACCTATCGATGAAGCCTTCGATTCCACGAGCATGCAGGTCATAGTTAACTATATCAACGGCTTACGGGAAAATTCCGTTGTGAGTAAATCAGTTGCTTTTCCTTTTCAAACTATTCTTAATTGTCCAGCAAATTCTAGTAGCTGAATTCATAGTGATCTCCCTATTACGAAGCCATTTAACATCTTTTTTACTTTTCTCTCCCCTCCATGGATTACATTGCTCAGATAATGATATGCTATGCATTTCAGCATTTGGAAGTAAGGAACTTAGGTCGTCTTTACTTTTTCTTGAACATATTTTGATCCTTCTTGAAGACATGAATGTCTTTGACAGGCCCAAGTCGATTATGTGAATCATAACTGAAAAGTTGTGTTTGTTGTTAAACTGGAGAATATTTGTCAATGATTCGTGGAGATATTTAAACTAGCCGCTTGATTTGGCTTGGTGAAGGTTCTGCAGAAGTATTATCAGTGCCTTCATTGGTTATGTTGATTGGTGATAATTGGTCCGTAATTTTAAGACCATTTTGTTGGCCGACCACAATTTCGAGGTGTCAGCATATCTTCGTGATATTTCCACTATTTCTGGTGGGTTTTCCATTTTTCCATTTATGTATTACTTTTGGGCATTGAGATTCGTCTTATTCGTAGACTTTTGCAAATTCTTTGAATGGCCATTTATTCATGGGTATTAATGTCTACTTTTAAGCAACTCTGGTTTTGCAAAATAAGGCTGTCTTGTTCAAAAGTTGGAAAAGACCATCTCGAGTAACCATCGGAAGTTAGATTCATTTGTGAGAAATAAGTTCAGTGTGTGTTTTTCCTGGCGTTCCCTACAACTAATTCCCATAGAAATAGTATATCGATAATGTCATTAAAGGGTTTTACGAGTGGTGCATATTGGTTACCTGCCTTTAAAGCGAACTTTCATAATCCAAGCATTGATCTTAGTCTTAGATGCATGATTTTTTTTATTAGTTGTTATTGGCTCTGAACTTGCTGTCAGTAACTGCGAGTACTCTCAGATCTGTACTTAGTGTCCTTTTTGTTGTTAGGGATGAGGGGTGGATAAATACCCTGTCACGTCCGGTCTGTGTTTATGTTTGATGTTTTCTTCTGCTTTGTATCGATCCGATGAGTTAAGCCTTTTTCAACTGATTTTTATAGTTTGTTCCTATGTTGTGCTGTTACACCACTGTCCCAGGTAAGGAGGAGGGTTGAGCGCTCACAAAAATGTTTAACCCCGCCACATTTTTTATGTGCCTGTCCCAAATCAGGAGCCTGCAGTTCAGTGGTTGTATTTGGTTTATGTCTTTCATATTTGTTTTTCGTTAATTGTTTTGTTATAAATTAGGCCGTTACCTAGTTTTCTTAATTGAATTGTTTCAGATCTTTAATGTCGGGCCTTTTATAGTCGTCTGTACGGTATGGGTTTTTCTCATTGTTGAAGGCCGTACGGTTGCCTTTAATTGCTTACATCCACTTTTTTTTTTAACTTTATTGGATAGTTGTCTCATTGGCAATCATACCTCATCTTCTTATTTTTATATGGAAAATTCACTTTCCCGGGTATGTTTAGTAGAATGTTGAATTTTGCTAGCTTTAATGATGAATATAATCAACTTTTTTGTAGCATGCAATATGATATATTATCAGTTACTTTATCGGAATAATTGAATTTATTTGTATGAGCTTTAGAAGCAGAACGAACAGCGAGGCTCGCCGAGCTTTTCTCCTGTTTCGTAGAGAGTACAAATACATTCTATATTTCCGATAATGTACATATATTGAGTTTATCCTGCAATTCATGCTTTATTTGTTTAAATTCAAATAGTGGTCTCTGATTTTTCATAGAAATCGACGTAGTTTAAACACGTACAGCGAAGAGGACCCCAAAAGAGCTGTTACGTAAAAAGGGGGTTGAAGATGAATATCATTTTGCTTTAAATAAATAAATAAATTTAAGTCTTATAAATACGGGTCTCAGGTTAAAACTGATTATGTAATTGACGCTCTTAACACTAGTGACAGTAATGCAAACTATAGATTTAATGTACTTTAATGTAAGCTCACAAAACATGTTTAACCCCGCCGCATTTTTGCGCCTGTCCCAAGTCAGGAGCATCTGGCCTTTGTTAGTCTTGTATGCTTTTTAATTTTAGTTCATTTATATGTTTTGGAGTTTAGTGTGACGTCCATTTTCACTGAACTAGTACACAATTGTATTTAGGGGCCAGCTGAGGACCACCTCCGGTGCGGGATTTTCTCGTTGCGTTGAAGACCCGTTGGTGACCTTCGTCTGTTGTCTGCTCTTTGTTCGGGTTGTTGTCTCTTCGACATATTCCCCATTTCCATTCTTAATTTTATTTCTTCTACGTAGTCAAGGTCATTATGATGTTTAAATTTGAAATACTTATTAACCATGTGAATAAATTTAAAATGAAACAAAATAAAAGTTTTATTAAATAAATAACGAAAATAATTATATTCAATTGTCAACATCTTCATTGGGTTTGCTATGACAACAAAATAGTTGACAGAACCACTGTCGAAAGCCCATGAATCCACTGTTAGGTTTGGATTGAAAGTCAACTTCTATATCTATTGCAGATTCTTTTGTTTTACTAGTAATCGGTGAACTACGTATTTCTTCCACTACTGGTGAAAAGAATGGCCGTAAGTGTGGTCTTGGAGATTCTTCTGTGTCACTTAAACTTATACTGAACCATTCACTGTCTGATGTCCTTGTTGTGTCTGGTATATCTAAAAGAAAATGAAACTTTATTACTATATGGGAACAGTGAACATTTTCTTTTTAAATGCTCGCCTTTTGCAATCTCTCATCTTAAATTATAGCAAAACTACTTTGGGTGTGAAGGCTGAGAACATAATGAGTATACGCCGGGTGCCACATGTGGAGCAGGATCTGCTTACCCTTTCGGAGCACCTGAGATCACCCCCAGTTTTTGGTTCGGTCCGTGTTGCTCATTCTTTAGTTTTCTATGTTGTGTTTTATTTACTGTTGTTTGTCTTTTCGTCGTTTTTCGGTTTTTTTTGCCATGGCATTGTGAGTTTTTTCGACTCATGAGTTTGAATATCCCTTTGGTATCGTTCGCCTCTCTTTTGTAATATTTTCAAACAAACAATTTGTATTCAAATTGAAAATTTCATTGTACAATTTATTAAGGTTTTCGTTAATAAAAAAAATTGCACAACAATCAGTGATGATATCCAACATTTGGAAAGAATCATTATGAAATGAAAAGCCAGCAAGGTAATAAAATGGTATCTACATTAGAACGAAAAAGGTGATATAATATATTTTACCTTGATCCTCTATTTTGTCATCTAATGTAGACAAATCTAACTTTAGTTCTTCCTTTAACGCAAGCTGTTTATCATTGATATCTTTTGTTGGAGACTTGCTTCTCTGAAAAATAGAGAAAAATAAAGTGTTATCATGTTCTTTTAGGTCAATCATGATACGGAAATTGAGAGCTTCTTTTTTGAAAAACCACCTCAGTATTTCAGCAAGAATAAGATATGCGTTTATTTAAAGTTATTTTGACATTTTGTTTCATCGTGACTTAGGCTACTCGACAACACACACCAGTACATGTATATCAATGTTGAAAAATTTCGTTTCTTCTTTTTTAGAAATAGTTGTACAGTACAATATCAATTTAATTTACCTTAAATACTTTTTTGACTATCTGTTGAAGAGATCCCCTCTTACTGGTTACAGTTTCACTAATTACAGCTCTGTCCAGTTCTCCTGAAAAGCACAATAAGAATGTTCCTCAGTTATAAACTTGAAAATAAAATAACACACACTATTGAAACACTAACAATTGGCAGGTGCCTTCTGACGAAGAACTTGTTATTTTCAGTATTTTTCGAATGACCTGTATTATACTTAAGATCCTTTTTTCGTTTTGTATTTTCAAATATAGTGGCCTTGAAAAACACTGAAGAGACATGAAGAGAAATGCGCATCTGGTGCAGTATACTTGAATATTACTCGATGAAAACCTTTAGCTTAAATAGACCAGTCAAAAGGGAATCTTTTTTTCTTAAAAAGAAGTAAGAATTAATAATTGAATAAAGACAATTTTGAGTAACTAACTGGTTTTTTTTTAGTAACTAACTGGTTGATGAAAATCATAAATTATTACGTTTTATCATTAATAGCAAAAATTACGACAACAGGGTAAACAAAAATCAACTATTTGTTTTATTGATGGTTTCCATGGAGAACAATCACCATGATTGATTTGTTGGTTTTTTCCCCCTTTAGGACAAGACAGTTGTTTATATTTGCATGTGTGTTCCTTGTTCTTGTTTAAATCCCATATTTTCATACTAGGAGATAACATTTATATGTGCTTACTGTCGGTCTCTGAATTCTTAATGTCTGTGCTTTGGAAGCTTTGATAATTGTAATGCTGGTCTCTCACAAATGATTTTATTCTTTCTTCTTTCACCGGTGAAAGGAAGGGTCCTGGCAGTTCTTTCTCTTCTCGTACTTCTTTAAGATGCAGTTCTTGTGAAGTGCAAGTCTTCTCGTTACTGGCACTTGGCTTCTTTAAAAATAAATATATGTAGACAATAAAATTACGAAAAGTCGACAGTTTTGCTATCAACGCGCAATATTAAAACCGAACATTTTTTATAAAAAAAAACCTTATGAGCTACTGATTGATAAGGCGCTTGCTTCTAGAAGAGTATGATTGTTCCTAATATTAACACTGATACTATATCATTGTGTACACAAGATTAAACACTGCTGCATTTTAAGTGAAAATACCACGTTCCTAAGCACCCAATAGTGGTAGAAGCGCAGAATTAAAAAAAAAGTAAATACCTCATGAAAAGCATGCCGCAGAGCATCAAGTTCAGTGGCTGGTTTCCAGATTTCTTCAAATTGTTTCTTTATCTTTTCTTGTTCTCTTGTTATCCTACGTCTCTCCTTTTCTTCTTTGATTATTTTTTCTCTGTAGTATGCTTCAACAAATTTATTGTATTCAGCATCTCTGATGGATTTGTAAAAAGCAGCATATTCCTCATCGTCTGTCATTTCCTTGGATGATACGAATTCCGGTGCTTCTAAGGACTCTTTATATGTATTTCTGCTTCCAATGGTACGCAGCATGTTACACTCATCATTATTGGCAGAATTAACCAGCGATAGTACCTCAGCCTCAGCAGCTTTTATTTTTGCTAGATTTAACTCTGCGTTTGTTGTTTCATTTTTACCTTCACACAGATTCATTGTGTCAGTAAGCTTGTTACATTCCGTGTCTCTTGCATCTTTCAAGAAAGCGAATACCACATGCTCGTTTGCCTCTTTTTCTCCTTCTATAATATTCTGTGGTATCACCATCTCGTTACAATTAACTATTTGTGGACCAGACAACATATTTGCATCTATTTCGCTGAAAATGACATTAAGGATTGATTCAGAATTAATGCAACACCTTTCCGGAAAATTATTCCCAATTTAAGAAAACACACGTTACTATGAATAGGTCATCCGCAAAAAAGCAGAAAGACACACTAAATGATATACTTTTTTTAATTAGAAAAGTTTTTGAAATGTTATAATATTATAAAGTTTATCTGACATTTTTTTATTTTTTGAAGTTATACACATCTTTGTAGTAATACATCTTAAATTTCATTATGGCCAATATTCAATAGTTCTTAAATTCCAGAAAATAATATTCATCGAAGTATAACAGCAGTGCGGACATCTATCAAAAGTAATGGTACCTACCTAAAAGCAACGTGCAATAACGACAACAGTAAACTACGGATATTCCGTTCAATACTGCTACTATCAGTCTCCATTTCCATTCTGAAAAAAAGAAAGGGGGATATAACAGTACAACTGGTTTATCAGGTTTTTTTATTTTCCCTAATGTATTGTACTCTCTCTCTGTCTCTCTCTGTCTCTCTCTCTCTGCCTCTCTCTGTCTCTCTCTGTCTCTCTCTCTCTCTCTCTTGTGTGAACAAATGATCAGATAACACATTATTTGGTTCGTTCACTCAATTTCTCTACAAACTTACCAAGTTAGTCTCGATAACTAAATCTTCTAAGTTTTAAATTTTCAAAAAGCGTGTACCCTCTCGCAGGCAAGTTAACAAACTGACGACGTTGCCAAAGAAATATCATGATTATGACGGTATGCCGTCAAAGGTCGTGTGACATAGTTTTTATCAGTCGAGGTTGAACGGTTGATGATCCCTGTTCTAAGAGTATTATGCGTGTATCAATAACTAAAAGTATTATTTCAAAAGCAGGTTCCAACTCCCTTCCTACAAAGTTGACATTAGAGAAAATTTTGCCATTACTTAAGGTTCTTTTGGGTCATGTATGATCTCAAAACGTGTTTGAGCGGGACTGGTGAAGGTAAATCCAGAAAAGCGCTTCGGACGCACGATGTTTAAATTTCAAGGTACTAACTTTGCATACTTGTATTAACTAATTACATTTTAATTCTATGCATACTTCTGCTAGATAAACAGACTAACTTTTAAATTATTTTACATGTTTATGATGCACTAGCAAAACTTTACATTCAATAATCATCGTTCCAGCAACAACAAAAAAACAATAACCAAATATAAAAGAACGAATAAATGAATGATAATGTAGGCAGTGGTGAAATTGCTTCTATTTAGATTTTTTTCTTGAAACAAAAGAACCTTTTCACACGTTTATTTTATGTAACTGGTTCCCTGAAGCAAGCAATATTGAAATAGTTCTCATATTCTAACTATGCAGCCTTGCTGTCAAGTTGAATGATCGGGATAATATAGAGATTCTACTAGCGTCAGACAAAATGTAATTTCAAAGTTTCAAAGTTGTGTAAAATAAAGGTAGGAGAAACAAGAAATTTGGTAAAAAGTCTAAAAAAAAATCAAACACACCAATAATTTTCGTTAATTTTGCATTGCATTTGCCTGACTGCAAAGTATTACCCTTAAGACAAAAAAGAACTAGTCCACACTTAGTAAGTCTCCTACAATCTTCGCCAATGCTGTAAAATTCAATTTTAGATCTTCATACGGCATAAATTTAGGCAGCAACGTTCTCATCTGATACAAGGTTGCCAGAGAGGTTTGTGACGTTTCGACGTTAGATATCATGTGGCAGCATTTGCGGTAACTGATTGGTGATCCATGAACTTTCAATCAAACTATCCAATGCAGTTCAATGGTGAGCTGGTTACTGTAATTCCATATTTTTATTACAATCTGGGATCTCGGAATATTCGTCAATCGTGTATTTTATTACACACCATACCGTAAAGTAGTAAAATGCACGTCTTTATTAAATTTTTTTTGATTCTTGGTGAATATTGCCGAATTGGTAGTATTTGCTTTACCAATGGAACATAAATAAAGAAAGAAATATTGCTTGCAAAATTTGTTGAAATTCGGTTGTAACCTGTGTAGTAAATTTACAAAATCGGAAATTGTAAGGAATGCTTTCTTGCTTTACACAACTTTCCATTCCCCAAGTGTGCAGGCTTGTCACTTGTACTACATTTTCTTTTGTACCCAAGGTACAAATAACTTCTTGTTTTATCTAATTAACAATTTACTACATTTCTGAATTTTGTTTTATATTCGTGTATTTACCATATTAGCAACAGCTGGAGACTTTGAAGATAATTTTCTGCATAAGCATGAACTAGCTTTAGGTGACAGCAATTATTCTTAGGTACTGTGTGTAGTACCTTGTATTGGTTTTGTTTCCGTTTTGTTAGGTATTTTTGTGAGCTAAGTGGTGTTCTGTTGTTTCTAGACCGGAGCTTGTAATTTAGTAGATGTCGTTGGTTGCAGTCAAACTTATTTGTGTTTGGTTGTTGTTGTTATCACAAATCAGGCCGTTGGTTTTCTCTTTCGAATTGTTTCGTGGTTTGCTATGCTGGTGCCTTTTATAGCGGCTAGCTAACTATTGAGCATGGGTTTCGAGCGCCGTTCTGTACCCTATATATGTGTGTTCATCCTCGTCCGTTTGACTCTGATGCATAGTTGTCTCATTGGCAATCGTAACATATTTTTCATTATGTTGATATTCTTAATAGATAAAAAAGACAACACGGATTTTCAAGGTAAGACAACATTTTTGTAGATAGGCTTTAGAAGCGATTTGAATTGCGCAATCACTTTTGCGTTTTATCACCCATATTTTAAATACCAGAACATGATTACAATGAAAGCTGATGTATACTTCAGTGACACTAAGACATGAAACAGCAAAATACATAAAGAGGTCAAATAATTTGTAATAAACTTCATAACTTTTTTTGACAATTAGTTAACTTTTGTAACTCAATTTGCATCTGTTCATGTGACATACTACACACTTGCAATTCATGTAAAATGATATTTCATTACTAACATTATTATTCATATTTACATTCATATCTAAAAGGGGTTGAAAGTGTTCTGATTTCACATTCGAATCAAAGCCATTTGATAAAGGGACAGTTACGTTTGAAATTTCATCATCTATAAACTCTTCTATCTCAGTAGTTGCAGGATTCATAGACATATTTAATTCCACTTTTGACATTTTTATCAATCGAATTGCATTTTCAATCTCATTTTGCAAAGTGCAATAATGTAAAAAGTCTAAACTCATATTTTCTTTCTTATTAATAAATGCATCCCTTGCGTGCTCAAAAGATGAATTGTCATTGTCTTTCATTAGTTGTTCCTCACTTCTGTGTGGTAAAAATGCCATTAATAAGCTGAAAAAATATTCCTCTGAAGATATTTGAAATTTTGGTAATCTTATAATTAAACTTTTTACCCTTTTTTGCAAGTAAATGTTATTAAACGGTTCAATCATTTATTTACACAAATCAAAATGGAACTATACAATGAAAAATACCGAATATATAAACAAACAAAAAACACTGGTAAACTATATCTATAAAGTTGGAACAGACTATACAAAAGAGAGGAGCAGGATACCAAAGGGACATTCAAACTCACTAGTCGAAAATAAACTGACAACGCCATGGCTAAGAAAAAAGACAAACAAATAACAGTACACAAAATACAACATAGAAAACTAAATTGTATGCTCACAAAACCTTTTGTCTATTTTGTTTTCTTAACTAATAGATAATTGGTGAGGCTTGTTTAGGGGGGATATCAATATCCCATATCCCATTAAGTTTTTGTCCCAATATCCCATATCCCTATAATGTTTACCCCTAATATCCCAATAAATATTTTTTACAAACATCCCGTATCCCTAAAACTATTTTGAAATATCCCAAAAAATCATTAATTAATTCCCAAACCCATTTTTGTATACAACATTTCTTAAATACGTGTTGTATGCGTTGTAGTAAGGATGTGGGCTTTTTCACAGAGAAAAGTTATTATTTATTTGACATATAAAACAAGAGGCACAACTCTGTCTTTATCGCTCACCTGATGAAAAAAAAATCGCCAGTTTGCTAATGAGGACTTTGATATGCACATAATTTAGTTACTCTTTCTGTTGCTGATCATTTTTGCAATTTACATGTTAGCCTAGCTCCTATAGGTTTTTAGAAACCAAAAGCCAAAACTTCAAAAACAGTTAAAATCAACATTTAAGGGGGAATACTTCTAGAACTTGTTGCTAAAAATATCATAGTAAATAGGTCTTGTTATGCTGATTATTATTTTTTTTATTTACACTTTTAATCTAGCTCATATAGTTTTCATGATAACAGCCAACAACTGTGAAAAATTATAAAAATAGACATTTCAGGGGCAATAACTCAAAAACAAGTGTTTAGATTAATTTCCAGGGTGGATACATGTCATCATGTAGATCATTTTCCAAAATTAAACTTTTGATCTAGCTCCTATATTTGAAAAATAAAATGGCAAGGATATGTCAAATAAGGACAATAACTCCTTTGAGAGCTCGATTGGCAATTTGGGTCATGATAACTTATTTGTAGGTCTTATTTTACTAAAGAAATTTGCCATTTAATGTTTATCCATGTCCAACATAGTTTCTCCAAAAGATTTAAACTTTTGGTAAATAATCTTTCAAGGGCAATAACTCCTATAAAGGATCAGTTGACCAGTTTGGTCATGTTAACTTATTCGTAGATCTAATTTTGTTGAACATTTTTGTCACTTAAAGTTTCACTTCATCTATTATAGTTTCTTAAAAAAAAATGAAAGTTTAATTAAAAAAAATGCTTTTCAAGCCAATTACTCCTATAAGGGATAAATTTACAATTTCGGTCAGTTAACTTAGTTGTAGATCTCAACTTGCTGGCCATTTTTGCTGTTCAAAATTTCTCTTTATCAGCATTTAAGATAATAATAAAAAAGAAAAAAAACAGAGATATTTCGTACAATTTATAATTCCAGATGCAATAACTGCAAAT